CATATAATTGTGGGAAAATTCAATTACCAGTCCTTTATCGCCTTAAACGAAATTCGGCCTAATCTATTCAAGAAACTCGACTATGGAACAATGAAATACCGTCTAAGATACTCATTTGATATACCACAAAAATAAAATACTTGAATCTGAGCCGTCCCATACAGTGAAATAGGCATTGAGTCCAAATATAAATCAGAAAAACATTACCAGCCCGTGGTTTAGTAGTATAGGTAACCTAGTCATTTCTAGAAGAATTCAAAAATTACTACAAGTGTTCTTCTAGTCTAACAAGTGAAATGAGGTAAAAATTAGGCCCATAAAGAAGCTATTTTACTTACTTGGCCAGGTCACCAAAGCCGCGTTCCTGATTTGGGCGAGCCAGCCAGGAGAGCGACCCACACCCCAAGTCGCTCGGCAACTCAGCCAGCCCGGACGGCAGGATATGCGCCTGGCTATGCTAGATCCAGCCGGCCTCAGGAGATCGTTCACACCGGCTGAAGAAGAGAGGTCGGCTCCCTGAAAGGGACGAGGAGAGGTCTGACTCTGAGACAGGATTCCGGTTGAGGACTCATGAGAAATAGGGAACAGAGAATAGGAGCGCTGAGCATTACAATTGATGCTTTTGATGCCTCCTCCAGTCACGGAACGCGGCGTATTTGAGCCGACTTGCACCCTCAGTGCAGATCGGTCAGTGACGTAGGCCCTAGACAAGGGTGCAACCGAGTTCGCGTGTAAAGTACTCATACCATTGTCGTTGGTAACAATGGCAGCTTGAGAGCTACTAGTCCCGGGAGAAGCAAAAGGCAATGTACCTGAAACTCGTCCAGGCCCAGTGGCGATTCGAACTGGCCGTGAAGCTGAGTGCCGTTGCGTGGTAACAGGGCTAGAAATGGCCTGGATCCAGAGATATAATAAAAAGTGCAAACTATATATCAATAAATGCCTAAGCGTATATCATGAATAATATAGAAAAATATGTAGGAAACTACTTTTTGTTTAAGTATTCTCACGATTATAACAAAGGTCACGTGATAGCGGCTGCAGGTTCGCTGCAAAGTAATTCATTTTCTAACTAGTACCATACAAAAGACGAATTTATTTCGAGCCAATCTTGTTTTAAAAGGAATATCTAGAGAATTTAAACAATGAGCATGATGTTCTTCCCTTAATATACTTACCCCAACTTT